TATTCCTTAATCAATCATTTTACTGAAAATTTAACCAACCAATCCAAACATTGTAACATAATTCTCTAACCAATTATATCCCACTACCCTAATTAACTTACACCTAGCAAAATTAATTATACAGCAGACAGAAACAATTAGAGAACCAGAGAGATTAACAATAGAAAAGTGGGGGCCATGAAGATAAAATAATACAGAAATGAGGGTTTCACAACCACAACCATTGATCTTAACATTCCTTGCACTGCTATTATTATTTTTTACACAACTTTACCCCGATTACACTCCCATCTTGTACAATCAGAGACAGTCAAGTTAAGTTCCAATAGAAACTCCTTACGTTCCTTTAGTGAGTTTGATTAACTCGTCCAATAGTCAAATAATATAGATCAGAGTATGTGGTGCCAGCAGTCCTTTACAGACCATTTCTGTGGGAAAAGGGCCCATTTTCCCTCAGAATAGCTATAAAGGCTCCTGGGAACAAACACATAGTGGTGGCAGTAGCCACCTGACCCCCTTGTATAATCTGTTTAACAACCAGGGTTCCACTCAATGTGACTATACCAAGTTGCACAAATAATTACATCTACATAACTGGGTTTTATCATCAAACCAAAAACTTCCTTCTTATAACACCACAACTGTTACTCTTTAACATCTTCACAACCATTACCTTTTAACTTTTCCACAACTCCCAACCGGTTACTTCCCTCCAAATTCCCCCCAAACTCTGTAGTATTAATTTCTGCAAACATCTGCCTTTTACCTGGTGCTGTCTTTACCTCCGGATTGTTCAAAAAGGCAGTAAAAAACTTCTCAGTTCTCATTTCAGTTTAAAAAAGAGAGAGAAGAAAAAAAAAGCTTACCAGTGTTAACATTCTGATGAAACTAATAAAATACTCTCCTAAAATACAAAGACATGAAATCAGATGGAGAAATCCAACTTTAAAAAAGAGAGGAAGAGGCTTAGAAGAGGTGGTGACAAATATAATGTAAACATCTCTGAATCCAAAGCTTTAAGGTGTAAGAGATGTTTATACTTTTTCAAAGGAGGAAGAGACAGCTTTCAGGAAGGGAGCAGTTTCCACTGCATAGCACCTCCCTTGCAAAAGTGCAGTCTGTTGCTGACTTCTGACACAGTGGTAGAAAGTCTAAGCCAAACGGATAGTATAGAACCTTGAAAGAAACCACACTTCCAATTCACTGATGAAACACATTTGCCCATTATCACTGATTTACTTCAAGACACATTCCAGGAATGAAGGGTAGCAATGTAATTTAGTGACTACTATAAAAAGACTACTGAGAGATCCAACATAAACACAACAGTCCGCTGTTTATTTTAAATCCAGCAGATAATTTAAGACTCTGATTAGAACAGTCTCAACTCTAAGGAAAGCCAACAGGGAGATTGGAATCTACCTGCTATGTCATTGGTGTCCAAGTGTACCTGGAATTGAATAAGCACTGATGTACCAAACACCATCCCTAAATCGGGAGGTTTGAGAGTAAACAGTAATTAGGCAAGTTCTTCATTGTCCAAACTTGATTTCTTAGTAAAAGGAATGATCCCAGAATTTAAAGATAGTTGGCACTTTACCATTTGCTTAGTAAGTTGTTGATAATACCAGTCAGTAATGACAGCTAATCTCAAGTGACCCAGATGGGAAAACAAGTGGTTAGCCTCACAGGAAACTCAGAAGACTATAGAATCTCTAGTCAGAGAACTAATTGAATGTAATCAGTGCATTTCAGGCCATTAGGATATCATAATCAAAAGCTCCAAAGAGACAAAGGAATCTCACAAAACTGGGTGAGTGGGCAGCAAAATGGCAGATGAAATTCAATGTTGAAAAATGCAAAATAATGCACATAGGAAAACATAATCCCAACTATATATATAAAATGATAGGGTCTAAATTAGCTGTTAACTCCAAGATCTCTTTCTTGAGTGGTATTGTGGATAGTTCTCTGAAAACATCCACTCAGTGTGCAGCGGCAGTCAAAAAAAGCTAACAGAATGTTGGGAATCATTAAGAAAGGGATAGAAAATAAGACAGAAAATATCATATTGCCTCTATATAAATCCGTGGTATGCCCACATCTTGAATACTGCATGCAAATGTGGTTGCTCCATCTCAAAAAAGCTATATTGGAATTGGGAAAGGTTCAGAAAAGGGCAACAAAAATGTTTAGAGGTATGGAACAGTTTCCATTGAGGATAGACTTTTCAGCTTGGAAAAGAGACAACTAAGGAGGGGATATGATTGAGGTCGATAAAATCATGACTGGTTTGGGAAAAGTAAATAAGGAAGTGTTATTTACTTCTCATAACACAAGAACTAGGGGTCACCAAATGAAAGTAATGGGCAGCAGGTTTAAAACAAACAAAAGGTAGTATTTCTTCACACAACGAACAGTCAACCTGTGGAACTCTTTGCCAGAGGATGTTACGAAGGCCAAGACTATAGCAGGGTTAAAAAAAAAAACTAGATAAATTCATGGTGGATAGTCCCTCAATAGGATGGTCAGGGATGCAGATCCATGCTCTGAAATATCCCTAGCCTCTGTTTGGCAGAAGCTGAGATTGGGTAACATGGAATGGATCCTTTGATGATTGCCCTGTTCTGTTTATTCCCTCTGAAGCACCTGGAATTGACCACTGTCAGAAGACAGAATACTGGGCTAGATGGACCTCTGACCCAGTATGGCTGTTCTTATATCTAAGTCTGCTCTGGTTGTCCCAATTTAATTTGAAAAGTGTGATTTTTATTACAATAATTGTATGGTGTTTCTCAATCATCAGTATCCTGAGTAGTGGATGGTGGTTTGGAAATAAAATAAGTACTATTTTTTTTTTTTAATTTTTAAAGATTTGAATAGCTTTTCTTTCAGCCTTCACAGTGCGCCAGTCAGTCTACCCATCATGCTACTGGAAAAATCATCTGCTTTATTCACTGTTCCACTTAACTGTGTGCATATATATTGCTCTCTTGAAAACTTACACTGACTTCTGGTCTTCATCTGCATCAAGCTCAAACTCTTTAACTTCCTCTTCTAAGTTCTGTACAGTGTGGCTCCTGACTACAGTTCCTTTTCTGCACCTACAACCTATGTTCTGCCAACTCATCACATTTCGATGCTTTGTTGATATTCTCCTCTCAGAAGCAACCTTTTGTCTTCTGTCACCATTCCCCATATTCCAGGAATGCACTCCCAGACACTTTGCACCTTGTAGACTCTTAAATCTGTCTTCAAGACTCGGTTAGTCCCTGTCTTGGGACTGGTTCTGTGCTTAGACATTGATTTTTAAAGGTGCAGGCCATTATCTCCAGTCCCTTCCCTCTTGCTCCCTCAAACTTTAAATATTTATCATCTAAGTGAACAAATGCAAAACACGTAATCATACATTTTTATTTAAAAAGAAAATAATTCTCTAGGTGTGTAAGTAACAAAGAATGTCTCCTGAACTGTGACTGCAGCCACTGTAAACTGTAATGCAAAACAGGTGTGGCTATAAAAATAATGGGCCACACCATTGGTTAATACTAATCTGCATAAATCCATTGGCTTCAATTGAGTTTTTCCAGTCTACACCCGCTGAGAATCTGGCCCGATAAGTGCTATGAGTGCACTTAAAAAATTTCTGCCAGTGTGGGCGATTCTGTGTTTAAACCAGGCAGTCAAAACAGAACTTTTTAATTGTGACCCCTGCAATATTGAGGTTAATCCAGTGTGAATTTAGAGTCTTCTATAATTTACATATATGAGTCATGTTTCAAAGGTATTTAGAGCAAATATAAATCCAGATTATTAAATATTTGCAACTTGAAAGAAGGCTGCGTAACTGTCAGCCTATCAACTGAATCCTGGCTGATATTTTTCAACGAGGATATGGAAAACAGTAAATTATATTCCTAAATCATTAAAATAAGTCAAAGGAAAGTGAGCAACATAGTTAACCCCCCCCCCCACCCAATTTGCCTACCTTATGAAAAAACTGCCATTTATTTTTGTTATAATAAAAAATAATCATTCTGAAAATATGTGAAACACCAGTAATCCTCTGGGACCTCCTTTGTCTTTGAAGTTATCTTTTAAATAGATTTAAAATTATTTTTGTAATTTGGCAAGACTGTGTTGTGAGATAACAGAACTGATTCTAAGCAAGGCGGGGAATACTGTACCTATTGTTGACCCTTGGAGAGAAAGTCTGGCAGCATTAGAAGTAGTGTCAAAGGTAGGAACTGTGAAAAGTGTTGGTTCTTTGGTGCTCCAAACTAGATTATTTGTTCATTGAACAATAAGATATGGTGAGGTGTAAAATTTATTGCATTAATTTACTCCTAGTGCTGTGGTGGACATGAAGCCAAATCAGGGCCGCCCAGAGGGGGGGGCAAGTGGGGCAATTTGCCCCGGGCCCCACAGGGGCCCCCACGAGAGTTTTTCAGGGCCCCTGGAGCTGGGTCCTTCACTCGCTCCGGGGGCCCCGAAAACTCTCACAGGGCCCGGGCCCCCGGAGCTTCTTCTGCTCCGGGTCTTCGGCGGAGTGCCGAAGTGCCGGGTCTTCGGCGGCGGGGGCCCCCTGCCGCCGAAGACCCCAGCCCCCCAGAATCCTCTGGGCGGCCCTGAGCCAAATACTGAGTGCTATCAAATGAACCATGTGTACATGAAAATTACAACACAGATCTGTCTCTGGAGAGTCTTATTGCAATTATAAAAATGTATTCTGTCCTTCCAGGGAGGAAGTCCTTGGCCTTGTTTGCTTTGTAGCAGCAACTCTGGCTGCTTGGAGAGCAGAATTGATAGACTTTGCAGGAAGCCAGATCCAGTCTTCCTCAACTGATGGGACAGTTGAACACCAGCTTAACATTGAGAGTAAAAGTAAAGTGGAGTAAAAGTAGACAAGGGGATTGATTCTGAGGATTCATAGGCTTTTTCTAGGAGAAAAGCATGATAATTCTAATCATTTTGTATTATGAAATCATGTGTTTGTTTAGGTTGGAAGCTTTCTGAGAATTTACAGTCTGCATACAAAACAAGCCAGTGCTGAGAACCAGCCTGATGTTTCCTATGTAGAATTTCATCTTCATGGTGGCACCTGTTATGGTCGAGGAATTAGGGTCTTGCCAGAAAATAATCCAGATGTCAAAGAACTAAAAGCGTAAGTTCTGTAAATAATCTTTGAGACTAGTCTGGACATTTTAAATGCAGTATTTTAGAATTTTAGTTCCAATAAACATTAAGCTATTTACATTTGTAAGTGCTTTAGGGACTGATTACATGTAAGCACCCAGCGTTTCTGGAGTGGAATGAGGTTGCTGTTTGGCACTACCACACCATAGAACAGTTTTCAAAAGAGGGTAGGCAAGTGAGGATTAAATTTTACAAATGAAACTTTAAGAGGAGTTTAGATTAACAAATAATAATGGTCCAAGTTATGATTTAGCCAAGCTAGCAGGTGTTGTAAACATAATACTCTTTTTAAAAGTGGCATGCGGTCTTTTAATGATGAAGGTGCCAATTCAGCAAAATAATTAAGCATTTGCTTCACTTAAAGCATGTGCTTAGGTCTAATTGAAGTAAGTGAGATTTAAACCCATGCTTAAGGCAAGGCACATCAATAAATACTTTATTGAATTAGGGCCCATAGGCAAAGAATAGCTAAGGTTCAAGGTCTCAATTTTATATTTCATCAGAAAGTCTGCACTTCCAGCAGCACAGTTCTCTCTTTGCACTATATAGGATATTGATTCAGAGGGTCTCCCCTACTGCATCTTCAATAAATATGCCCTTGGATTCTTTTCTGTTTTATGTCCATACAAGAGATTCTATTATATCTAAACATTCTAGCTGGACTCTGTGAATAAAAGGTTCACATCTTTGATACCTTTTAGATCTATTGAAAACCACAGAAAATGTATATATTCATATCCTTAAAATCTTTGTTCTTTCTTTATAGATTCATGGATTCTGTGAATCTCACAGAGTCTCAAAATGTGGAGAGCATGTCTTCAATGGAATTGGATGGCATTTTTAGCAATCTATCATGTAAGAGCAATTGGAAATTGATTCACTCCCTCTTGCTACATAAATATAGTACTGGTCATGTTATATTTAATATTGCTTTAAAGAAGACTTGGAGTGTTTTTCTTTCATTTAAACAAAAAGTATTTGGGAGATACAAGATACATATGGACCTATTAGACCAGAAACCAATATTCACTTATTCTTCTATCTCACAGCAGAAGTTTGTCATGCAAATGAATGTTTGTCATGTAAATAAATGAATGTTAAAAGCGACTTGGTAAAGAGTTAATTTAAACACAGAGAGTAAGATCTTCACTTCACTTTAATGTAGCACTGTTTTCAAACAGCACTGTGTTAAAGCACACTACAGAACATTTGGTGCGCGCCAGCAGGGTACACACACCAATTAACGTGCAACTAGTATGATTCAGAAAGCACACCCCCATAGCGCATTACACCACTGTGTACAAGCTCTTAGCAGGAAGCATGTTCATAAAAAACAGAATGCTGGTTTAAGGAAATTCATATAAAAAGTAAGGTCTCTTAGAAAGAGGCTGCCCTGTGCCTATGATGACACATAGGAATAGTAGCAAAATAGTCACTATCTCTGTTTTGAAGAACTAAGATTCTATAATCTATTTTCCTTTCTGGGCATTTCACGAGTGTTGCTTCCATTTCATTCTATGTATGTTATCTGCATAAATCTCCCACTCATCAAAAAGCCAATAGACCCATATGAGCTAATATACAGATGTTTAAGGGAATGATGCTGTGGTTTTAGAAATTCAGTACATACTTTTTTATTTTAAAAAAGTTTGTAATTGGAGGGAGAAGTTTGCAGCTACTATTGGATTCATACTTAATATACCTTTTCAATAGTTCTCTTTTATATTCATTCTCTTTTGTGTACAATTGAATCCTGTAGAACCGCATCTATTTAGGAGACCCATATTGCTCTTAGATTCTACTGTGGTGACCACCATGTAGACAGAACCTCAGAATTGCTACAAGACTAAGAAAAAAGTTGTTGGGTTTGTTTTAAAGCAAATTACCTGTTAGCTGTCAGATTATGAAGTTATAGATTTCTGAACTTTTCATGCGGTCAGGAACAGTGAGAATAGTGAATAAATTATTTCTAGAACTCAGTCTACCAGGCAGGAGAATTTAATGTCCAGAGCTGTTGATCAGGAAAAAAGCATGTTTCAGTGTCCTTGAGCTTAACAGAAATCTATGTCTGTAAAAGGCACCAGATATCCTATAGTGTATGAAATCTAATTGCAGAGATGTTTACTGTAATACTGTTATTTGTTAACAAATATAGAATACAAGGTTTGGATGAAAGTAAAAGTGCAGCTCAAATGTGACAAGTAACGATGGCTGTACTAACATGCACTGTGTGCGGGTCTACACATGTAAACATAAATCTAAGATAAATATTATTATATATGAATAAAGATACCTGCACCTGATGAAGCCTTTTACTGTTAGTCTCTTCTCCTATACCAGGAGTAGGCAACCTATGGCACCTGTGCCGAAGGCGGCACACGAGCTGTTTTTTAGTGGCACTCATACTGCCCGGGTCCTGGCCACCGGTCTGGGAGGCTCTGTATTTTAATTTAATTTTAAATGAACCTTCTTAAACATTTTAAAAAACCTTATTTACTTTACATACAACAATAGTTTAGTTATATATTATAGACTTATGAAAGAGACCTTCTAAAAACGTTAAAATGTATGACTGGCACACGAAACCTTAAATTAGAGTGAATAAATGAAGACTCGGCACACCACTTCTGAAAGGTTGCCGACCCCTGTCCTATACAGTTTGAGCAAAACCTAAAGGACATTGAGATCATGAAAAGCAGGTCTTGCCCAAACAGAATGGAATGGACTCTCTTATGGTAAGAGGCATTGTCAGATGCAGGTATTAATCTATTGTAAAGCACCTTTCATGGTTTAAAACACTTTGTGACACACTCATATGATCATACATCTCAATTATCTGCCTTTGGACTGTATTTGGTCTAGTTAGTGGACAAACAAAACATCTATGAAAAATAAAATAAAACACAAAAGCAGATGGATTTTTGAATGATTAGGGGATGCCATTACCACTTACAATGTAGATAGGAGAGAGACTTTCACAACTAAAAATATAGAAATTTCTCAACTACAAATGACATCAAGAGAAATATAAATGAAGTTTTACGTAGAGTAGCAAGTTTTCATCAGTGATGACATTATTTTTTTCCTATTAACTGAAACGCAGCAGTTATCTATAATTCAGAATTAATAGCAATCGTACAATGTTAAGTGGTTAGTAGCAATGTCATACTCAATTAACACAACTATTTTTCCTTCAAAATATGTCATTTCTTAACAGACCAGTCATATTCACAGAGATGCCAGCAGTTATCTGTTACAGGTAGGAAACATTTTTTATACCAAGGTGGTAGACTTCTTATAAATAGTCTCGGAAGGATTTGAAGTTTATCTGTAAATTTCAGTAAATTTCAGTTTCAATGTGATGAAAAAAATATTTCCATTGATGATAATCAAAATTTACAGATGGTCCAAATAACAAAAATGCTGCTAGAGAACTTTTTGGGGTTTAATTTAAGGATATTTGCTTTGTATATTTTGACATGTGATGTTGACAATTTGTGTTTTAGTGGTTAGAAAGCTTTAACTTTTTGAATCGTTACTGTCTGACCCCTCCCAATTGTCTGACCACCCCACCTATAATTTCCCATATATGTGAAAATTTAAAATGATTAAAAAATAGAAAAAGCTTAAAAATAAAAATAGATATTATCAATCAGAATTATAAGAAAATAAAAATTGAATTCTGCCAAGCCTACTTATAAATAACAAGGATGGATGTTGAGATGTTAGCTTACAAAACTGTTCAAGTAATTGTAATTGTCTAATTTCCGTTATGAATGTTGTTTTTTAAGGAAGATATGCATTTAGATGTAGATAAACCCACACAACAAATTGAGCAGTTATGTCTATGGGATGCTAATATGTTCAGCCTTGTGCTTTCATCCTCTCAATTGCTAGTATCTTGTTCCAATCACCTTTGTTGAAATATCCTATTGCGTTCATTTCATTGTATTGGAACATTTTTAAATGGGAAGAAATTATTAAAATATGTAGGATTTTCCCCTACTTGAATCCTTTTCACCCAGGGTTAAATCATTGCAGACTTTGGGAATGTCTTATGTCTTAAAGGCCAAAGGAACCATTTGAAACACGGCACTTGTAAAGTGGAGACTGCAGCAACAGATATATTTCTCAAAAGTTCTGTCAACTCAGCTAATACCTGTTCCTGCCACTCTTTTCATAAAAATGGACATCTGATTGGTCAAAACTGGCTTAAGTGCTGCAAGACCACAATTTTACTTTACCAGGGTTTGCAAATCTAACATTCAGTTCCATGGGAAGTGGAATTGCAGCCATCAGCTGAGTTACTTAGAACCCTTATCAGTTTTAGCTACAGCTGCTCAAAGGTTCTACTAAAATAATTTCTCAAATGTGCTTACAGACTTTAGGATCCAATAGAGTATTTTTACCTTTTTCAAGAAAATTCTAAATTAAAAAAAAAAAACGGTAGTGAAAATTCTTTAAACACATCCCTGTGATGGTCCCATCCACTCACTTTATTGTGCAATTGTATTGTTCCAAATATTGTTTCATTGCTTAATAGCTTGTATTTTTATTGCTTTACAGTATTAACAGATCATCAGCATTTAGATGACACAGCACTGAATACTATCTTGAACAGCTCAGTTCCTCAACAATATCGCATTAGAGCAAAACTCAGAACTTTTAAACCCCAGAAGCTCTATCAGTCCGTTAAACTTTATTGTTCAAAATGCAACTCACTGTAAGTGTTTTACATAATAACAGTAAAAGTTACAGATTGCTCAGTATGTTTTAGGAATCTTAGATAAGCTTTTAAATATTTTCATCTTTCTTTTAACACTGAAGATGAGTTGAATTTAAATCCATTTCGTTTCAAGCAAAGGCTTAGAAATTTACTGAAATTAGTTGGGGAAAACTGTAGTCATATGGGATATGCTTACTAAGTTCTATTCAGTGGCTCCGAATTCTAGTTTCTGTTCCAGTTCGCAAATTTGGCACTCAATTTTGCCCAGGACCTAGAAGCAAGATTTACCTAACCCTGCTCTTACAATTTTTTGAGTATCCCATCATAATAACCCCTGTTGGTATCCACATAACTATCTGTATTTTGGCTTTTAGAATTCTAAAATGGTGGAAAGTATCAAAGGGGTAGCCGTGTTAGTCTGGATCTGTAAAAGCAGCAAAGAGTCCTGTGGCACCTTATAGACTAACAGACATATTGGAGAATGAGCTTTCGTGGGTGAATACCCACTTCTTCGGATGCCTGTAGTGGAAATTTCCAGAGGCCGGTATAAATATGCAAGCAAGAGTGAGTCAGGCTAGAGATAACTAGGTTAGTTCAATCAGGGAGGATGAGGCCCTCTGCTCTAGCCTGACTCACTCTTGCTTGCATATTTATACCTGCCTCTGGAAATTTCCACTACATGCATCCGAAGAAGTGGGTATTCACCCACGAAAGCTCATTCTCCAATATGTCTGTTAGTCTATAAGGTGCCACAGGACTCTTTGCTGCTTAAAATGGTGGAGACTGCCAGTACAACTAGAGACAGAGTTTGGCTTTATTTTCAAGGTTATTTTATTTAAGGGGGAAAAATATTATTTGAAAATTGTCAGATATCAATTTTGTCTTGGCAAAACTCACTACTGCAAATTAAGTAAAAATTCAGAAAATTTTTGATGTTTCAAGAAAGTGCATTGAACGTGTTAAATAATATTAACATAATTTCACCAGCACATCATGAAGAGCAGAATAATCTATGGGTTGTATGTGTGTCTAAGAGTCTTACTTCTGGGTTTTAATCCTAGCTCTCATAAAATCACCGTGTGGCCTTGAAAAGAGTTTTAACATCTCTTGGTGTCCCATCTTTAAAAGGAGGATAATGCCTTTCTTATAGAGGAGGGTTGTAAGGATTAATAATGTTTATTCATGGCTGATCCTGAAAACTGATGAGCTCTCTGACCTAGCACATGCTTAACTTCAGATTACTCAAATGCTTAAAGTTGACCATGTGCTGAAATGCTTTGCTAAAATGGGGCCAGACCACTAAGTTTCTTTCAAGATCGAGCCCTCTATATGGTGAAAATGTAAAGCACTGTATATATCACTGTGCAGTATTATTGGTGCTTAATGGTCCTCTTGTGAGATTTTCTTACAATATGTTATTTATACAGAAGCTTTCAGCCCAAGGTACTTTACAAACTGGGCTAAATTCTGACTGCATCTGAACACATACTTGAAAAGTCACAGCCAGAGTGGGGAGTTTCATCCTGTTTCTGCCTCCCCCCAAACCTGCATAAGCACTGTTTGGAAGTTACTCTATAAATGGAGCTGAGGAGAGGGGCATTCCATCATGGTATCAGGGGGACCCATATATTCCACTTCCCCATCTGTAAAATGGGTAATAATAGCACTTCCCTACCTCAAAGTGCTGTTGTGAGGATAAATACATTAAAGATTGTGATTTGCTTTGAGATCTACTGATGAAAAGTGCTATATGAGAGCTAAGTATTATTATCATAGACTTTAAGGCCAGAAGGGGTCAAAATGATAATCTAGTCTGACCTCAGCCTCACCCACCCCCTTCTGTTGTAGGCCCATACCTCTGGCTGAGTTAGTGAAGTCTTCAATGAATGAGCTTTATTTTAATAATCCATGGTACACTTCAGTTCTAACAATATAATGACATTGTCCTTTATTAGACATCTATATTTTACAATTAATAATTAAAGCTGTTACTGGTTTAAAAAAAAGAGCGTTCTTCATTTGAGTAGCGCTGTCAAAAATTGTATAGAACTTTTTTAATAAGAAAATGCTGATACATCAAAATCAAAACGTTCCATTGGAACGTCACTTTTGACAAAATACTGTTTTTAAAAAATTGAAGCATTTCAGTAAAGTCAGAACATTTTGCTTTTCATTTCAGTTACTTTTCATTTCAAAATTTTATTTCATATTTAATTTTATTTTTATATTTTTATTTTATTTGAAATAAAATATTTTTAAAAATGAAAAATTTAAAACCAAAATGTTTTGATTGACCCAAAACAAAAAAGTTTGAAAAATTTTGTTTGGTGAGAAAATTTCAAAATTTGATAATTTGTTCCAATTCAGAATGAAATGCTTTTGAAAAAATGGAATTCCTGTGAAATGCAAATTCCTGACTAGACTACAAGAATTACACACACACACTCACAGAGTACAGGGACTACAACTTTGTTCTTAAAAATTAAAAATCATGTAGCAAATGAATAAATAAATACATTGGGTACAAATGTCAATAGAAGAAAAAAATAGACACAATTAGTGAATACTCTTGCATGCAGTACAGTCATGCTCTGGTTGGAGTTTTGCCCTTGATTTCTTTGGGAGCAGGAATTGGTGTGGGTAAATGCTTTTTTAAATAGAGATATTCTGAGTTTCTGACATCCTTAAAAAAAAACAAAAAACTTGTTTTTCATTGTAATGATGTTTCGTGTCTCCTTGTTGCTATTCCACTCAAAGCCAATAAGGCTTTTCCCCCCGAACAGAAAGTGTGCCAGAACATTTGCTGTTAAAATTTCATAAGCAATCCACTATCTTTGTGTTCATAATTACACTTATACCTTGGGTTGATCCTGCAATCTGTTCCACCATGCAGAGCAAGGAATGCAATGTGTTTGCACTCCAGCACAAGTGCAAACAGTGGTTATGTGTGGCACAAAGTAAGGTATTGTCTTGCAGTGGAAAGTGGTCTCAAACAGCTGCTGCTCTTGTTTTCTTTTTTTGCAGAATGCATGGTAAAATAGAGTGGGATAATCTGGGTTTCAACGCTAAAGAGACATGTAGCTATGTGACCATTTTAGGGCCTATTCCAAAGCCAAGTGAAGTCAGTGGGAATCTTTCTGTTGATTTCAGTGTGGGCTTGGATGAAGGTATTAGGCTTTACCCCTGCTGATAGACAGGATTAGCTTTCTTGGCATGCAGCAGCAGGCTCATTCATGCAGGACTAGTTTTCCTTGAGCTTATATGCACAACACTCCACACCTTTGCTGTGCACCATCAAACCCTTAAATTGCTACAACTTGTTGTATATTATCTTTTGTCAAAGATCAGTGTGGAAAGGTGAATTTTCCTGTATATGCTGCTGTTATAATAATATTTCAATATCTTGTTTGTTTAAAGTACTGCATTTCAGCTACTAGACTATTGAAAGAGAAGCTGCTACTATTTACCTATTGCTTTCTAAAATGTTTTAGGCAAGAAGTTCCAGATGGAGATGATTTTGACTTAATATTAAGAGACTGTGCAGCTTCAGCTCCAAATCCAGAAGTACATAATTCATTGTGGTATGATTCTGAAGTGTGGGATACAGAAAATCAGGGGCAAAGAAAAATAGCTGTTCATTTTGTAAAACATGATGAGCTGCTTCAGGAGCCAGAAGATACTTTGATTATGGTACAAGGTAAGATAATTATATTACAGTTATACCACCTAGGATGGCGCAGTGGACTTTACCACTAGAAATTTAGGATTTAAATATCTCTGATTTAAAAACAAAAAGTTAGTTTGTGAGTTGTATTTAAAAACAAGCATATGCATATTAGAATCCTCTTTAAGTGATGGTAAAATCCATTAAAATTTTAGGGTTAGAGGTGGTTGGTTGAGTCTCTGAAGTTTTCAGATAAAATTTATTGCAAAAATAGTGGGTTTGGATTTCTGTAAACCAGACAGGAGTCAGATACCTTTGTATCTGATAAATCCAAACCAAGAAGCTTATTGATGATGCAGTTTTTTAAAAAATGTACTATCTCCAGCTGGGCTTTTAGGTAGGTACAGATCTGATTTGGAATGGTGATTGCAGTCTTACCAAAAATACTCAAACGTGGCTGGATAAATTAAAGGCTTCTGATAATGCAAACCCACTATATACTTTGTCAGCCTCTGGATGTCAGTGTTGTGTCACATAAATAAAGCTGAAGCAGTGTGCTTTTTATCTGATTGCTTTTTAGGGGGAGAGAAAAAAAGCCACCTAACTTTAAACAAAGCAATTTAGGTAAAGATATAAATAAGGATGTTTGAATAGAATATAAGTAAGAAATTTTTGCACAGCTTCACATTCTGAATTTAAAACAAGGGCACAGTATCCAAGTGGATCAATGTGGAAGGGCAAGGGTGAGTCAGTTGGCCCTTTCCATGGACAGATCATTAGGGTTAATGACAAAGCCCCTTCTGTTTGCTACTTAGTTTATTATCTGACTAGTTTCAACAGTAGTCTGCTTTGTGGTGTGTCTCCCAAATTCTTCAATCTGTTGATATAATTTTCTTCCTTTGTAAAAGCCCTGTCTCCCCAGTTCTGTGTCTGTTTTTTTTTTCTCCTAAAATAATCAAACAATATACCTTGCTCTGCAAATCATTGGAAGATATTAAAGCCCCAGCAGCTGAATGTTTGAGAGAGAGCATGTGGAGTGGAAGTGAAAGACACAATTGTAAATCTTCATATATTTACTAAAAGAAACTTTAGCTGACCAGTATTTCAGTTCATTTTCTCCTTCCGAATACTGACAATGGAACGTGTCTAAAAAAGATGGCTACTCTCAGAATTTGGGCTTTTTACTTTTTTCATTTACAAGTTCTGGGAGGAATTTTGTGTGTGTTCCCAGATACATCCTTCCTTAATTTCTCCACATACACACAACAGCAGCTATTCTTCTGGCCAAGTAGATCTAAATATTACTCTTGGTGTTGCATAAGCAGCTTGCTTTAGTACAGTATGAGATCCTCCCTTCCCCAGAAACCAGATGCTGAGCCATGTTACTTCCACAGGATTTTTTTTTTTGCCTCTGTTGAGCTGAGAGTTGAGATAGAGCTAAATCCAGGAAACAGATCCACTGCTAGGTCAGCCTTTATTTAAACAACTTTTAATGAACATAAATAAAACTAATTTGTAGCAAACCTTAAAAAAGGTGGAGTTTAAGATATTGATTACATTTAGATTAATATGTACTATTCATTTACTTCCATTTTTATCCAGTAAATTCACTCTGATTCATTTCAAGTTACAGCTGTTGTTACTCCGACAAATTTGTTTATGTTGATTTGTTAGTACACTGAAATCATTGTCTAGATTGACTTTATATTCCAAATACCTTTAAATTATGGAGGCATCCCAGTGGTTCCATAGTGAAGGCTGTACTGAGTTTTATGCTTAACGCATGATTTAAATCCTTCGTCTGGCCATAACATTTCAAGCATTGTGTTCTGAAGAGGTTGTTGCTATGGCAGTGGACTGGACTGTATTCTTGGCTCTGCTATGTAACCTTGAGCAAGTCACTTCATGTCTCTGTGTCTCTATTCCCCTTCCAAGCTTTATTCATCTTTTATGGTTACACCTTAGGTAGGTACTGTCTCTTACAATGTATTTGTACAGTGCCTAGCACAGTGGGGCCCTGATCTGGTTGGCTTCTCTAGTCACTCCTGCATGATAAATAACAGTAATAATAATAATAAAATATATGAGACAAAGCCATAGTTCCTATAATAATGCTTTTGTAAGATCTTAAATTTAATTTAAGCTAAAGTTGTTTTTGCAGAAAGTTACTTATTTCAGAAAATTCACTCATATATTTTTTTCCTATTATCCATTCAGGAACTAATTAGTTCAAAAGTTATTTAGCCAAAAACTAGTGGTTATTAGGTGCATAACAATAATTACAGGTTTCAGAGTATGCATCCGAAGAAGTGGGCTGTAGTCCACGAAAGCTTATGCTCTAATAAATTTGTTAGTCTCTAAGGTGCCACAAGTACTCCTGTTCTTTTTAATAATTACAGGGTTAAGTGTATCAAACTGGTTCTTGAAATTACAAGGAAACACAATTACACTGGTCTGAGGTCAGAGTGTTTCTAGATTCAATCCAGCAACCATATCAAACAAGCACTGCTGTGATTGAGGGACCTGTGATCACGTTAAGAAATGACATCCCTGTATCTCTAAGGGATAAAATGCATGTCTTATGATACTAGACCAGTCTGGGCAAACTGTGGCTGGTGGGCAAACTACAGCCCATCGGACCTTTTAATCCAGCCCTCAAGTTCCCGCCGGGGAGTGGGGTCAGGGGCTCTTGCTCCACTCCACGCGCAGCCGGGGAGCAGGGTCAGGGGCTTTGTGCGGCTCCTAGAAGTAGCAGCATGTCCCCGCTCCGGCTCCTATGCGTAGGGGCAGCCAGGGCCAGGGGGCTCCACATGCTGCCCCCACCCCAAGCACTGTCCCCCTCAGCTCCCATTGGCCAGGAACCATGGCTGCGCCCCTGCCCCTGCCCTAATCCCCCTCCCACCCTCTAAACTCCTCAGTCCCAGCCTGGAGCACCCTCCTGCACCCCAAACCCCTCATCCCCAGCCCCCCTCCAGAGCCTGCACCCCCAGTCCGGAGCCCCCTCCCACACCCTGAACTCCTCATTTCTGGCCCCACCCCAGACCCCTCACCCCCTCTTGCACCCCAACCCCCAATTTTGTGAGCATTCATGGCCCAGCATACAATTTCTATACCCAAATGTGGCCCTCAGGCCAAAAAGTTTGCTCACCCTGTACTAAACTCAGGTAGCTTCTCCAGTAATATAAAGCATTCATTTCTAGTTTTGGTAAGTTACCAAGTAGTACTTAAAATCATATTATTATGTTTACTACTGTGTTGCATTTTTCCCCTCACTTCAGTTCTGATGCTGTTTTAACAGCTACTTGTTCTCATATTTCTAGCTAAAATGTAATGTTTTCTACCACTTAAAAGCTGGAATGTCAAGCTGTTTTCTAGTGGAATAAAACGTATTCTAGTTCTGGTTGTTCTCAAGATAGCAGCCACTAAAATTGCTGGAAATGTAGTGAAAGAAAAAGCAAAGTGTAACCCGAATAAAGTTACTTTAAGGTCTGCTATCTTGTTAGCTACTATTGTTGTTATGAAATATATTTAAAACATATGTTATGGTAACTTACAACTTTGATTGCACATATAACACATGTGGTTGTGTTAACATTTTGCTGTCTTTGCATGAAGTGATGAGTCACTTAAAATTTTGTGTGGTTGTTCCTATACTTTTAATACATGCAGTACATTAAGGAGTTCCATCAACACTGGCCTGAATATAGTGATGAATTACAGATGCTGATGCTGATATCCAATAGGCCAAGAAAGATGAATCAAGTAATTTAGCATTAAATACAATTAAGAAAACATTTTTTTTCTGCTTTTAACAGGGGGGATGCTAAAAGAAATCAGAAAACTTTCAAGAAGATTTAAATGTATTATACCTGTGAGATCAACAAAAGAAGATCTTGAGTTACTAGACCTTTCAGCTCCCTTCCTTTTGCAAGGGAAAATATGGCATTATGGGTAGGTTTAAAAAAAAAGTCTTAATAGTTTAGAAGTGGTTGCAATTAATAGATGTATAGAAAGTTAGTTTGTTTCAGTAACTTAAATTCCAATGTCAATTGCAAACAGATATAACTTTACCTTCTAAAGCTTGTTCTTAAAAAGAATTGTCCATGACAATTGCAAAAATTAAAATTGTATGGAAGAAGAAGACATTGATCCGGAGCCTGAACATAAAACTTATGCTTCCACCATTATAGTTAAGAGAAAAGAAACTTACATTATACACTTCTGTTTTCAGGAGTTGACAGTCCTTTTTTTTTTAATTTACCCCATTAGGTTAAAAAAAGCTTATTCTCAGCCCACAGAATTTCCTATAATTCTTCGCATGGTAGCGAGGGGTAGGAGGGTTTCCTCAAGGGTCAAGGCTTCCAGGAGGCGGTGGGTATAGGAGTTCATGGGCCAGGAGGGTCAGGCTGCTAGAGGTGTCAGTGCTTGACTATATGCATATATGCCCTCCTATGCACTTTAAATGATGTGCTACAGCCTCTACTTGATGGTATGAAAAGATGGTTATTTGAACTTATCAGTTTTTTCTGCTTTAAAAAATAGAAAAGCTCTTGGCCATCAAGAGATGTCTACTTACATGCCTCATTGAGGCTAAGGCATTGGTGATACCTTAGGTTCCTGCTGGGCACAGGTCATCACCAGTACAAAGTACCACCCTTTGAGCTTTCAGCATGCCCCATGTGATCACTAACTGTTTGGCAGCTCAACTTCGTAGATGGGGCCTGCAAGTGTTTCCTTGTTCCAAGATGTCTGTCTCATAAGAGCCCAGTCTTATAACTCTGCCCTACAGGAGATATTTTCCCTCTTTAAATCTTTGGGTTTTACTGTAAACATTGAAAAATCACACTGGTTCCTACACAGTCTTTCACCTTCCTAGGGGCCACCTTAGATATGACAAGAGCCCTAGCTTTTTTGCCCCAGGACAGGTTTTGAGATCTTCTTCAGGCAGTAAACCTAGTTAGGTCCAGAGGAGCAGGGGCAGTAGTTTTGCATTTGGCCTGATGGCAGCTTGTATCCTTGTTGCCTTCTTTGCATGAGTATGGATGTGTCCCTTGCAGAGGTGGTTGAGTCTACTGTGCAGACCAAATGATGGCCTGTACGTGATAGTTTCCCTTATTCAGAAGGTTTGTGATTCTCTTTTGTAGTGAAAGCTCCCAAAGTTTGTCTCAAAGAGAAGCCCATCCCATAGCCAGCACCTTGAATAATGGTAGGCACAAAGGCCTCCAAACTTGGGAGCTCATTTAGGAAACTTGAAGGTTTATGATGTTTCAAAGTCTCACTTGTGTGTACTTATCAAAGCACAACAAGTTAAGACCTTTACAGTAATATCAAATATGCATCAAGGTATGATTAGTGTAGGGACTATCCTTGAATTCCCTGACGTCTGTACATTTAAAATCTCAGCCTTTGCAATTGTCATTAACGGTCTTACATTTAATCTATGTAGAATGTTTGGGTATTATCTTATTGCCCGTGTAGTTGTCCTAACTTTGAATGCCACATATTCTATGTAACATATTTAAAAGGTATGAATTATTTTCCTGCAACATATTAAACCAAATTCTGCTATAATTTACTCCACGGTAAAACTGGAGTGACTTTATTGATATCTGCTTCACACCAGTGTAAGTGGGAGCAGAATTAGGTCCACTGATTCTACATGACAAATTTGCTTTAAAGCTAATTTTAAAGATAATAAATGTCAATTTTATGTTACAAATGTAACATATTAGCACAGAAGCTTATTTTGAGGGCAGAATAATGCTACTGTAACTTTGTTTCTTGGGGCAAAAGAAAACAACTTTATATGGACATCTCTCAACGTGAGATATTTTTATCCACTTACAGAATTTTAGTTGCTGTCTTACATCCTGTAAAAGTTTGATGATGATACATTAGTACTCCAGGAATAAAAAGAAGAGGTTCTTTTAATAACTTATAATTACAATATTTTAGGCACAGGTTAAGACAAATTCCTATACTAATAATCGTATAATCCTATTGTGTTTTTAATACATAGTAGAGTTTCAGATTTATTACTGCTCTTACAAAATGGCACTTTGTATGTATTGTTAAACCACAAAAAGTGCTAATGTACGAATATGTGCTCAGTTGTTATTGGTGTACAGTTAGCCTTTGTTATTCAATTAGGCTCTTTCATGGGTCAAAATAACTTACTTTTTGTAGCTGGTGATTCATAAGGAGCATTAATGTGGTTTAGTACTTTAGATGTTGAATGAAGCTTCTCCGCCTTAAAAAATCTGATTTGTCAACTGTGGATCTTTTCATAGTGGAGGCGGTTTGCATCCCCACTGAATAACTTTATTTGAATACAGGTTTGTCGCATCTTACGCACATTTAACATGCACGATTTCAGCTTTATGCGGTCGGCAAAAACAGAAAGAGAAAAATAACAATTTTAATACTGTAGCTGTAGTGCGGGCGATTCCGCCTGCCATTACACTCAATGTAATTTTGACTATACACAATTTTTGCTTTACGCGCTGACTGCGGAACGTAACACCAGCGTAAGATGCGACAGACCTGTAAACTTGTTTGGCGCAGAATGAAAAAGCGAATAGTTCATCACCTTGAAGTCTGTACACTGTCAGCATTTTATTTTAAATGTCAGGTGCAAACAGTGTTCAAATCAGAAGACTATCCAGAGTCTCAGTTCCCTTGCAGAAGAAGAACCATCGTGGGAGCCAACTGAAATAGCACGAGGTTAGCTAATATCATTATGACCTGAAATAGATTGTGCCTTGATTCTTAAGGTAGATACAAATTGTCTCACTGAATGGATTACACTTTTGCTTAGATCTTTATATATCCTATGGATATGCAAATATATGTATTTGCATTTTGTGGGCTGAAGTTAAATATATGATTACCTTTTTAAAATATTATATTAAAGACGAACTGAAAAACTTTTTACTGTCAGAATGTGAGATCATTGTTTAGTGTTTATTCTGCACTAGGTGGCATTTTTAACAATTAAGATAGTGCAGGTGTAACGAATCTTTGGTTACATACTTATAGGTGTCTATTGTGAGCTATACACAAATATGTAGCATCAGGAATAAAATTTGTACCATTCACAAGTCTTCCACTTGAGCCAAACGTGACTCTTCCTTAGCTGTGAGTGATAGTAAGGTTTGTATCTTTTGTAAACACTACCATTAGAGGACATAAACACTAGCCTACTACATAACCCAGGGAATTGGTGAAGAGTTAATCGCCCAAGTCAAAAGAGTTTGAGCCCCTAATTCTCCTTTCTGCTTTTGAAAATCTCCCTATCTATTCCTTGTGTTGCTTTAGGTAGTCTCATCAACTGATGGAAAGAAAATAGAGCCCTGGGAAATACAATGGGTAAAGAAGATAACGGTTTGAACTGTTTCTAAATTTAATTATTTTAAATCAGTTCACATCCTAATAAGGATTTGCAATCTCAAGCAGTATCTAAGTCTGACTGATTTTATTAAAGAATACAAACTACTGCAGAAGCATGATGTGTCTCACAAATATCCTCTCATGTTTATTCTGTATTAATAAATGTAAGCTAACACATAATTTACAGTATCAAATTGTGTTCATTAGAAATGTACTCCCCCCCCCCCAATAAAAAAAAACTAAATTCATTAAATGAAAGCTTTCCAACAAATTAAATAAAAGCAGTGGTTGGGAGATTTGTAATTCCTCACAGCATAATTCAGCAACATACCAATGTGGCTACTGCATGAAAACCAATTTTGTTTGGCCAAATAAATAGCTTTGGTTTGGTTAGATTGAACCCTTTGCTTTCAGAATGTACTGCCCTGACATATTTTAGTCACTGAGTGGTTGGATCATGGCAGCATAAACAGTGTAGGACTATCCAAAGTACCATGGAGTACATTTCTTTTTTTATAGGTAAATACTTGATCAACTATTTAAATTTTTTTCCCAGAATTGTTTAATTTAAGATAGCACAGATATAAAATGGGAAGATATATAAATGTCTGTAATACAAGAGTAATGCATATAATATATAACTAATATTTCCATAAGAATTTCTGAAAAATATGAAGGTTCACATGAAAAATATGAAGGTTCATAAGGCAAGAAGTGTGTTAAGAAGCATCAGTTGTTTATATTCAAATATCTATGGGCTCTTACGAGTCCAAAGTGCAAAGTCTTCCCTATTTTACAATTGTGGACTCCTTTTAATGGAGTCTAAACTCTTACTAAACAAAATTTCCTGAAAGTGACCTAGTCTGGAATCATCAGGAGAAACTGAATAAGTGATATGTAAACAGGTCATCCACCTTTTTCTTGGAAGAAACTTCAACAGTGTTTCTGTAGAGATGTCTATTCTCACATAATTTCAAACATATATTGCAAGCAGTTATTTTTACTTACTTTTAAAAACAAATTGATAAAATATGTGAATATATTTCTAGTTTTAACTGATTATAAATCATTTGCGCATAGAATCAGAATAATAGAAATGTATGACTGGAAGGAACCTCGAGAGGTTATCTAGTCCAGCCCTCTGTGCTGAGGCAGGACCAACTAAACCTAGACCATCCCTGACAAGTGTTTGTCTAACCTGTTCTTAAAAACCTCCAATAACAGGGATTCTTTAACTTTCCTTGGAAGCTTATTCCAGTGCAATTTTTTTTGTAATATCTAAGCTAAATTTCCTTTTCTGCAGAGTAAGCTCATTACTTCTTGTCCTGTCTTCAGTGGATCTGGAGAACAGTTGATCACCATCCTCTTTAAGACTGTTACCAGGTCCCTCCTCAGTATTCTCTTCTCAAAATTAACATGCCCATTTTTTTAACCTTTCCTCATATGTCAGGTTTGCTAAACATTTTATCATTTTTGTTTCTGGACTCTCCAGTGCCACATATTTCTTAAAGTGTGGCACCCAGAACTGGACTCAGTACTCCAGTTGAGTCTTCACCAATGCCAAGTGGAGCAGGACAATTACCTCTCATGTCTTACTACATATGATATTCCTGTTTATACACCCCAAAATATTAGCCTTTTTCACAATTGCATCACGTTGACTCATATTCAATTTGTGATTCACTTAAACCCCCAGATCCAGACTCCACTTTAACCCCCATATTTCTGCAGTGCTACTCCTTAGCCAGTTATTCCCTGTTTTGTAGTTGTGCCTTTGGTTTTTCATTCCCAAGTGTAGTACTTTCCACTTGTCTTTTGCTGAATTTCATCTTGTTGATTTCAGACCAATTTTCCAATTTGTCAAGGTCATTTTGAATTCCAATTCTGCCCTCCAAAGTGCTAGCAACCCCTCCCAGTTTAGTGTCATCCACAGATTTTACAAGCACGCTTTTCACTCCATTATTGAAGTCATTAATGAAAATATTAAATAGGACCAGACCTTGGACAGGCCCCTGCAGAACCCCACTAGGAATCTCAAGCAGTATTCAAAATATAAACCATACACAGACTCTTAATTAAAGATAGCCAGGAGCGAGTATGATTGGTAAGCAGTTGCAATAATTATATACATTATGTACATAGTTTTGAATCTTTTTTGTTTGACAGATGACATAGTTAATATCAGTGGGAGACTGTACCTAGCCATTGAATTTTCACAGATGGTTTTAGTTAATTTTAGAGTACCAGTCAGGCTGCTTTTTTATTTGAGTAGAACTTGCCCAGAAATTTTAACTACATCATATGGAATAAATTGTTTTCCCATAGATAATATATTTCACCAAATATATTGCCGTAAGTTAGTGTAGAACAGGATCCTGTTATCATTGAACCAAAGGCAAAACTCACTGATTTCAGTGGAAGTTTAGGCAGAAAGAGATCCTACCACATAGTCAGAAGTTAGGATGTATGCAAACATTTGCAACATTTTTACTAAAGAGAAAAGAGGTACTTTAGAGCAGTGGTTCTCAAAGTCGGTCCACCGCTTGTTCAGGGAAAGCCCCTGGCAGGCCGGGCCGGGCCGGTTTGTTTACCTGCCATGTTCACAGGTTCGGCCGATCGCAGCGCCCGCTGGCCGCGGTTTGCCGCTCCGGGCTAATGGGGGCTGCGGGAAGGGCGGCCAGCACATCCCTGCTGCTTCCCGCATCCCCCATTGGCCCGGAGCAGCGAACTGGCCGCGATCGGCCAAATCTGCGAACGCGGCAGGTAAACAAACCAGCCCGGCCCGCCAGGGGCTTTCCCTGAACAAGCGGCGGACCGGCTTTGAGAACCACTGCTTTAGAGCATTTTCTGTATTTTTCTAAACTCTTGAGCAAAACTGAATTTCCATTCTAAAGTGGCAATCTATACATCAATCTTTCTGAGCATCTCATTTTACCTGCAACACAAAATGTTTTCACTTAGTGTATAATAACATTGTCATGAATCCTATATATAGAGCTACGTGAAATTTTTAGTGAAAATACATGTTTCACTGAAAAAATGCAGATTTGCTTCAACCAAAACAATTAGCAAATTCAAGTAGATTTTAGTTAATTTTTTGTATTGGTGGGAGGAGAGAGACGAAAAAACAACTTTTCATTTCAGAAATGCATTTTGTTTTGGAATTTCCCTCAATTTTATATAAATATAAAAACCTTGAAATCAAAATAAAATGTCTGGTTTTAGGTTGAATGAAACATTTCCATTGTTTGCTTAAAAAAAACCTCAGAAATGTTTTGTTTCAGGTCAACCTGAAAAGATTTTGTTGTTTAGTTTTCGGTTCAGTGTTGAACTGCAAAATCTGTTATTCGCACAGCTCTAATTATAAATCCACAACCTCCACCCGTCCAAGTATCTGATTATATTTTAAAATTATAATCGTACAATAAGTCACATAATTAAAAGCAAGTCATTTCAATTACCTTGTGTTGTGATAATTTTGTCTTGAATATTCAGTACCTAAAGCAAAATATTTTTCCCACGCTAGTTTTAGGTATTGAGCCACTCCAGTATGTCTTTGTTATGAAGTTTACACTTGATGATGGCACAGGAGCACTGGATGCATACCTCTTTGACTATGTAAGTAAACAGAGAGTAAAAAGATGATGGTTCTTGTTAAGTATGGTCTCAGAGATGTTTGCATGTGTATATGAATTTGTGCATTCTCTTTGTCATATCCAGTGTTTTAAAACAAACTATTATAATGAATGTACAAATTATTAGCACTATCCACTGGTGAAAATGCTGTTTAGGTCAATATCAGATAAAAGGTAAAATGGGAGAAAAATGTGTGTTCAAGTCTTAAAATGGACTGAAGAGAGGAACTGGAGTGGGGATCTGACCCCCCCACACACACACACCAGGGCACAACCTGGACTGTGGGACTGCTGTGTTCCCTTTAACTCTCTGGATCATGGTACTCTTACACTGCTCTGCTAGTGACTAGCAGCCCCTTCTGGCTTTGCTCTCACACAGCCATTAGCATATGAAGGCACACCCAAAGTTACATGCAGGCTCTCACAGCCTGTCATGAACTATACACAGGGAGACGCCAGCAAATTCCCTCCAGCCCCAGCCTTGCACCCCAGAAATGTACCGTCTTGCACTGATCAAGAAGGTCTAGAGCATTGTAAGCTCATTAATTAATTCACCACTCCTTCAAAGGATAGTGGACGTGCCTCAGCCTTTGTAATCTGAGCGGATTCCCCAAGTTCTTTAGACAAACTCACTGGTAAAGATAAAAGATTAAAATAAGTTTATTAACTACAAAAAGATAGATTTTAAGCGATTATAAGTGGTAGGCATAGAGGTCAGAGTTGGTTACATAAGAAATAAAAGGTAAAATTTAAGTTTAAATCATAAACTTTATCAAACGAAGCAAGAGTTGAATCAAGCAGTTTTTCTCACCCTACTCTGGAGTTGCAAGCAGTTCACAGTTCTTAATACACAGGCTGAATTCCCTGCTCAGCCTGGAACCAATTTCCCAGTTCAGAGTCTTTTCTGCCAAAGTCTTGTTGCCTTCAGAGTAGGTGGGGCAGAAAGAGGCAAACTCTTGATACCACTGTCCCTTATTTTATAGTCTCAGTTCATATTCCTGGAAAAATACTGACTCAAACATGGTGTCAAGCATCACCTGTCCTGATACCTTGCTGAGTCACTGAGTTAAGCAATCCCCATTGTGTAGAGCTTGAGCAACTGTCTCTTATTGAATTGTAAATCTCTTGTTTGCAATTCCCCTGCTGGTCAATGGCTAGTGAGGGTTGCTTAACACACATCTGGGTGTGGGTTAGCCCCTTTGTTGCCATTGAAGAGCTTGCTATCGGCATCACCTAAACTCTCAACATATTTCAGTAACAACCATGTAGCAAAATCTCATAATTCCATATACAATGATGATATACATATTTTGACAGAACAATGAGTTTCAGCAAATCATGAGTTTTCATAGGATACCTTACAGGGCATTCTTTGTACAAAATATCATAACCATGCACAAGTGGTGAATATGGGGGGTACAAGATGCAATTTTGAAGTACAATATGTCACAGGGGTATTCAGCACTCTGTGTTTCCACAAAGTCCCTGCCTGAGCTGGCTGAGTTTCTCTCTGTCATGGTGTTAAAACACCCTGTCTGATTGCTTTTGATGTGATGATTGAGAGTCATTGAGAATGACTTTTTGGGGGGGTTAGCTCAGGATTTTATGACTACTCTGACAATTCTGTTTCCTTACTGGATAGATTCCAGCCAAAGCCATATAGCTGTCCATTCTCTAAATCTAGTTTTTTGATCTAAAGGTCTGGGTAATGTGGGCTCTTGCTTTTCATGGACTGACTAGTGCCTTCTAGGTTGTATTTAGCTAGCCTCCAAATAAATGTTAGTCCCTGCCCCCAGAAAGATTATTGTTTGCCTTACCTAGACACTTGATCTCCACATTTAACATAAGATTATACATTCACTCTTTGTGACTTTACACACTTTGCTTAAATTACATGTCTCCGTTTCCCAATTTTCTAAAATAGAAATAATATTGGCCTGCCCATGGGAATGTGAGGGATTAACTAAATGATTCTAAAGTGCTATGTAAATGTGAAGTATTATTTTTCATATGCATATGTAATAGATGTATAACTTTGTGGAAGTAATGGAAGATCCTATTTCATACATTCATGATGGCAAAGTTAAATTAGTTGTAAGTACTCTGCATGTCCTAGATTTTGAGTAGCTGGGCCTTCATGTTTCATTTATATACTTGTCCTTTTGGTTGTTGCATACCTGCTGATAATTTCAGGTAGGAATGTAAATGTTAAGAAGTAAGAGGGCTTTGATAAGATGAATAGATGCTGATAATACTAATCTAATCTAACATTACATTTGTAATATATTACACTGCAGCTTTGGAATTATCTAAAGCCAGTTGGGCTTTTTGGTCCCTGTGTTTCACAGCTTAGGACAGCCTGACCTCAAATACATACAAATTAATATATACGTATATTTTTACCCACTGTGTCAAGTGGCAGTAAGGGGGAAATGTTTTCCCATTTCTTTTCTTTAACGCATTCTGTATAACAGGTTAAAAGGCTCTTCTCTTAAAATATGAAAGCCTTTAGCTGCAAAGGAAGCTGAAGCCCAGCAATCCCCACTTTCTTCTCTTTTTTCCTTTCCACTGCCCCTCTCCCCTTCTTTGAAAGCTGTTCTTTTAAATTGAGAAACTAATCTGGGGGAGCTGTTGACTGCTACAACTGAGTTGCAGGGGGAAAAGGCAGTTTTCTTTTGAAGTGTAACCTGCACTTCAAAAGGAAACTGCCACTTTCTTCTGCCCAGACTAAGGTGCTCCAGGAGTGCTTGAGAAGAAGCTGGGTTGCTTTGAAGTGTAACTTTAAACTATCTTCCAGTCAGATTTATATAGTAACGCTCCCAGTTCATTTTCTTAACCTGATAGTCTAAGTAAAAGGAGCTGGGGAGAAGAGTCAGGAAAAATTAAAGTGTGATTTGAAAATGTGTCTCTTTTGCCATAAACAGTTGTTATTTAACAGTTATATTATAGTGCCATCTAGAGGTCGACCAGAAAGGAACCCATTTTGCTAGGTGACAGGTCAGCTGGGCTCCAGGGAGAGAGAGTCGAGATTGGCCAAGAAATGTGGGGGAAAGAGGAACAAAATGAAAGTCTGGTCAAAGTTATGTTAAAATAATTATGCTGTAGTGAAAATTGTTGGGAAATAGGCGTTATACAGTTCCCCTACTGTTTTATTTCATTTTCTACTTGGGCTACTTTTTATAGTGGGAAGATAAATTGTGTAAAACCCACCCATGTCTCTTTTCATACTGAAGAATGAAATTCAAAACGAGAGTTCTAGTTGCATAGGTTCAGATTCCGACACCCATCCTCCTGTTTAGTGATATCTTACTCCTCAGGATTTCCATTAATAGCAATGGACTATTTGAGTGGTAAGGTTGAATTTAAATAAGGATGGCACAATCCTGTCTGTAATTTCTGTCTGTCTGTCTATTGTACTTATATGACCCCCATCACTGTAGTATCTAGAGCTGGGCAATTGGGGGGGGGGGTTATTTTTTCCACACACACAACAAATTTGTTTTGGGGTCTCTGAAACTATTCACAAATTTGTGACTAATTTGTCAAAAAGTTTTGCCTAAAAAAAAATGAAAAATGTTTTTTCAAAAAGTCAAAATGTTTCATGTCAACCATTTTAAAACATTGTTTTGACTTTGTTTCAAAATGTTTTATTTAGAAAATTTTGAAATATTGTTTTGATTTTTCATTGTGAAATGATGTTCCATTTTTAAATTTTGTCCAATTAAAAGAAACCCACGCAAAATGGTGAAAAACATCCAAAGCTGACTGAATCAACACAAAAAATGAAAAAAGTAATCATTTCGTGTCAACCTAAAACATTTCAATTGATTCAAAACAGGGGAAAAAAAAGAAAAACTGAATTTCAGTTTGAATCAAACCAATTTGTTTTTTTACATTTTTTGGTTCAGCCCCCTGCCAATTGAAAAATCTATTATTCACTCAGCTCTAATAATGTTTGAGTACCTCACGATCTTTAATGGATTTATCTTCATGCAGTATGTGTATTAGTAAGGCATTAATGCACTTTTTTGGTGGTCTAAGTCATTGACCATACTACATGTCTCAGGGTTAATACCCTACTCATGCATGCTCTGGTTTGCTTCTAGCTGTATCTGGATCATTTTAAAAATACTGAACTGAATATATTGCTCCCTTTTGTCATTTTAGTCTCTTCATAAGATTCAAGAGCCTGCTAAAATGACACTAACTAATGACACCTGATTTATTTTTGTCTTCTTTTCTCCTCAAACCCTTCCACTTTCCTCAGGAAAAGTTTTTTCAGATTCCTGCCTCCGAAGTCCTTACCAGTAGTCTTCTTCAGGAGAAGATGGAAATGATCATGAATATACTTTGTCCTCCAGGAACAAAACTAGGTCAGCTTTTTGTAATCTGCTACTATATATGTAAAGTTATGTTGAATTCACCATTTATTTATTATAAATATGATGAGAACACAGACCAAATTCAATACTACAGAATTGTAAGGAAATTGTTACTTACTTTTGTTTAATGTAATATGTTTGGTTTGTCCTTTTTAAAAGAAGGGCCTTTGGAAACAGGAGTAATAATTCAGTCCCTACAATGGTAATGAGGGTGTGCAGCTGATCTCTCATGCTGGCATAGATTTAGTTTTTATATGTATACATGCATATCCAGGCAGAGCTAGATGTGTAATTCACATTCATATGGAAGTTAACCAAAACACCTTTATTTAAAATGTAACAGAAGCATAGCGACAATTAATAGAGAATTCAGTCTGAGCCCCTCACTTTAGGCCGGATTCTTCCACTGAATACACATACAAAGTTGGAGTACCCTTTCCTGCAGGAAATCCCTGTGGAAAGTGACTCAGGGTAAGGAAATCTCCGTGAAGATCCCATCACAGAGTTCCTCTGAGCATTTCATCTGGGGGCCCAAAGTGGAAGCTTCCACTGGACTGTCTGCACAGAACTGTTTGTCTTTGCCATAGCTCTGGCCCTTAGGAGCCTGTTTCCTCACAGTCCAAAGCACCCAGGCACCCTTGTCCCTGGGGACCTTCTCCCACCCAGTGCAGTGGGTGTTCCATGGAATAGAAGATATATCCCTAGGCTGCATTATCTTCTCCAAGTAAAAACCTTTGGTGAGAACAGAGGGAGAATAATGATACAAGTCCCACTCTGCTGCCTCCTCCTCCCAGGTGGCTCTCTGTACCAGCAGAGAGGAGAAGCGTTTCTCAGTGGAGACTGATCAACCCCTTCTGTGCATAAGAAACTTCAAAATCCATTTTTAGTTTTCCTTTTAGTCAGATGAATTATGTGTTAAAGTTCCACTTTTCTTATAAAAGCTGGAAATACTATCAAAATGTGTAATTTGTTTTTGATTTGTAGATGACTTGCCATGGTTGGAATGCTTCATCAGGTCTTATAATGTCAAAGATGGAATGGAACAGCAAGTTTGCTATCAAATTTTTGACACTATGGTTGCTGAAGACGTTATCTAGTGATATGTATTGCAATTTAAGAGACATGCAATTTATCGACATTATCGATTACAAAAAAGTTTTGAAGCTATAAACACCATACAAGGTTTTGTATAACATTTAGTGTATCATGTTCTGTGTTGAGAAATATTAATCAGGAAAACAAATGTCTTTTTCTGCATCTCACTTGTGCATGAAGGTTTTAGCTCTTCTGTTCCTGAATTAAAATGAATTGGACATATGCTAAGAGGTATTTATTACTTGCTCTGGGCCCAATCCAATGAGTCAAGTGGCAGTTAAGGTGCTCAGCACTTCATGGGATTGGTCACTGCGTGGTTGAGACTGTTAAAAGTGGTTTAATATCCAAACATTCCAAGCTATTACACAATTGAAAATTATCAATAATGTTACTAAATTCTGCTGTGACCCACAGAGTCAAATTTAAAGGGCAATTGTAAAATGTAAACATGTTTTGTAATGTATGAAGAACAGTCAGCATGATTACGCTTTGTTTATTTATCTATTTTAATACAAAAGAGTAAGTGATTTGAGAACAGCTGTGGAAACAGGGCTCTTCCATTAACTTGTATTCCCTTGCTTTATTCTGTACAAATCTATTTTAGGGTTCTAAAAAACCATGGGTTTTTTCCTTACTTTAATTTCTCATTGATATGTAGATTGTAGCGAGCTCTTCCTGCAGTCCTTATGTGTGCAAGTAGTGTAATTGACCTCAGTGGAGCTATTTGCATGAGTTAGAATTACTTATCTGGTTAAGAATCATAAAGTCAGTCCATAAAAGCAGGGATATTTAAAATATTAAAATGAATACTAATATTTATTAGATTATAAGGATGGTAAAGTCAGACATATTTGGGGCCATATCTGACATTGCTGCTCCTTTAAATTGTGTGTGTATTTGCAGAGGTTCTTGCACATAGTTTGGCTAAATTTAGTGTCCGATTATACTGTCTCGATTGCTTTCCTCTTTTGTATAATTGGATTGGATGCCTAAATTTAGAGACAACATTTTCAGGTCAACAAGTGACTAGTTGGCTACCACAGTGGAAAAAAAATTGCGTGCTTTTACCTTGCATTCTAAAGTATTTGCCCCAAATTCAGAATCATTTTCTAGAGAATAATATAAATGTAAAAATTCTTGTTAGGGGACTATGCTTCTTGTCATCAAAGGAAAAAAAATCACATAACATTGCACGGAGGATTTTTTTTAAATAGTGCTCATAGTTGACTAGTACTTTAATACTAAATACAAATGATTTTACTGTGTTCTAAGAGATGATTAGTAGAATAAGCTATTATATCCACTTACAGTTTCATCCAAATGTCAATAGATTTTGTGTCGTACTTTAAAAATCACTCTGGGCCATAGAAACAATGAGCTATGACCCTAGAAGTTTATCAATTATCATGTGGGTAGAAGGTGTGTTAACATTGGAAGCCGATGGTTCACTTTCAAGGAGAGGAGAAACTGTCAGCCTGATTGAATGGGACCATCAACTTACCAAGCAAGGAACAACACTGGCATTAGTTCTGAAAGCAGCTGCTTACCTACCCCGGCCTGATGAGAGATACTGATAAGTGAATTATTTTTAAAACTTGAACACTTCAAATAATTTCAGTGGAATTTAACTCCTGAAGCGCTCATCCATAAGAAATATACAAGGGTTTGTTTGCTATGTAATGGGTAGTTTAATCACAAAAACTATAGAACCTGTATTTCTGGTTGTGTTACATGACATCACAAACCATATTATGCACTGCCAATCATTAGTAGAAAGTATGTGTTAAATTGTAAATGTTTTTTAATGTAAATAAAAAGTCATGTTCCTGTACATCATTGCAGATATCTATTTTAAAGTAATATCTATTTTAAAGGAAACCTTTTGAAAAGTAATAGATCAGAATATATAACACTCACACTTCAGTGTAAATTTGTTTTCACCATCTCTAATAATGTTTGAGATTCGTGACAGAACATTTTCAAGTCATTTTATGATTGTACATACGGCACTTGAAGTTGTCTGGCTATTGAATATTGTAAGTATTTAGCTGATTAATAAACACGATTTAAAATAATGAGCTCTTTGCTCACACTTAACTTTTGGATATCTATTTACAAAACCTCTCTGCTGCCAATGGCCTTCATCCAGCAGAGCACATTCTTAGATAAGTTTGTTGAATTGGAACCTAAATAGCTAAATGTCCTACCAGATGTATTTTATTTGAGATTTTCAGTGCTCGTGGAAGATGTTGAATTTCTCAGAACCGAAGACCACGGTTCACAAAACTTGTCTCAATGTTGACCTTCTGGATCCTTCTGCAGGAGTGATTGAGCTGTGTTTCATCTCCATGACTGTTTTATTCCTTAATGCTTATGTGGAGACTGCCAACTTGGAAGCCAATTGCGATAGTAGCTTCTGTGATGCAGGCAGTTTCCACTCTGATCTGAATTGAGAGCACAAACTCACTCCAACTTACTGTAGACCACACCTGTTACAGTAATGACTTTCAGTCACTACTGACCTGGACCAGATACCATCTTCTGCATAGAAGCAAGAAATTTCATCTCCCATTTTTCAGTCCCTTGGTCACATTTCTCTAGTTTCAGAAACACATTTTAAAAATAAATCAAAACTGCCTTTCTGAATTGAGTGAATGAAATTGCTGAGATCCATCGGTGTTATAGTATTATAGAATTATATTTATTACAGACGTTTAAAAATGTTAAGTTTACATTTGATATAATTAATGTTGGAAAAATCAGAATGCTTTGAATGGTGAATCTGATATCTGCAATTTCTCATGGAATGCAGAAATTTCATTTAACATCCCCCACTTTCTCTCCGCTCCTGCCCCCCTTTCCTCCTTCCCCTCCTCCCCCCCCCCCCCCATATTCAGTGCTTCATTTAAAAATGAATTGCTTGCTTATAAGGGATCATCGGTTCTCTGATACTCTCTTCATGCTCAGATCAAAATAAAACAGCTAATTTGAGACCACTCTTCCATCATAAATTCAGGATGTTCTCCATATGTTTACTTCACAGTGTCTGTGAGGCATATTTTGGAATCTGCTTTAAATGTTCATGGATTTGTTTTTGTTGCTACCTCTTCCACATAGGTTTCCATTTCTACTTTGGCTAAAATTTGGCAAGAATAACTTTTATTATGCCAACCAGTTTATAAAACACATGTTTTGAAACCATAAAGAGCTTTGTCTTCAGGTGTTAGCAAGTTTCCTGTTTGGCCAGTGTGGCGAGCTGATCAGCACAGGTGACCATGCAGAGCTCATCAGCACAAGTGACCATGGAGTCCCAGAATCACAAAAGAGCTCCAGCATGAACTGAACGGGAGGTACTGGATCTGATCGCTGTATGGGGAGACAAATCCGTGCTATCCGAACTCCGTTCCAAAAGACAAAATGCCGGAATATTTGAAAAAATTTCCAAGGGCATGAAGGACAGAGGTTATAACCGGGACCCGCAACAGTGCTGCGTGAAACTTAAGGAGCTCAGGCAAGTCTACCAAAGAACCAGAGAGGCAAACGGCCACTCCGGGTCAGAGCCCCAGGCATGCCGCTTCTATGATGAGCTACATGCCATTCTAGGGCATGCCCTACAACTACCCCACCCCTGTGCTTCCCTCCTCCCCCACCCCCACCCCGGGTTACCTTGGCAGTTATCCCCCCATTTGAGTGACAAATTAATAAAGAATGCATGAATTTGAAACAACAATGACTTTATTGCCTCTGCAAGCGAAGATCAAAGGGGGGAGGGGAAGGCGGTTGGCTTACAGGGAAGTAGAGTGAGCCAAGTGGGTGGGTTTTCATCAAGGAGAAACAAACAGAACTTTCACACCGTAGCCTGGCCAGTCATGAAACTGGTTTTCAAAGCTTTTCTGATGCACAGCGCGCACTGCTGCGCTCTTCTAAGCGCCCTGATGTCTGGCTGCGTGTAATCAGTGACCAGGCGATTTGCCTCAACCTCCCACCCCGCCATAAATGTCTCTCCCTTACTGTCACAGATATTGTGGAGCACTCAGCAAGCAGTAATAACAATGGGAATATTGGTTTTGCTGAGGTCTAACCGAGTCAGTAAACTGCTCCAGCGAGCTTTTAAACATCCAAAGGCACATTCTACCACCATTATACACTTGCTTAGCCTATAGTTGAACTGCTCCTTACTAATGTCCAGGCTTCATGAGCCATGGGAGCAAAGGGTAGACTGGGGTTGGTGTGACCGCGCGGTGCTGCCGACTGGGAGAGCAGCCTGAGGCAGAAGCCTCCAGCTGGCATGATATTCCAGGCAGGACTGAATCTCCATTAGACGAAACTTAAAGAAGAGAATGACCTGGAGTCATTCCCATTTTTGTCCAGGTGCCCCCAGCCGACCTCACCAAGGCCGGCCAGGAGCACCCATGTCTGCCCAGGCGCCCCCGACCAACCTAACCGAGGTCAGCCAGGAGCACTCATGGAACGATGACTACGGTTAGCAGTCATATTGTACCGTCTGCCATCCGCAAGGCAAGGCAAGGGGATGCTGCTGTGTAGCACTGCAGTACTGCGTCTGCCAGCAGCACCCAGGAGACATACGGTGACAGTGAGCTGAGTGGGCTCCATGCTTGCTGTGGTATGTTGTCTGCACGGGTAACCAGGAAAAAAGGCGAGAAACAATTTTTTGCCATTGCTTTCACGGAGGGAGGGGGGCCAGACAACATGTACCCAGAACCACCCACTACAATGTTTTTGCCCCATCAGACATTGGGAGCTCAACCCAGAATTCCAATGGGTGGCGGAGACTGTGGGAACTGTGGGATAGCTACCACAGTGCAACACTCTGAAAGTCGACGCTAGCCTTGGTACTGTGGACGCACTCCGCTGACTTAATGCGCTTAGTGGGGACACACAGAATCGACTGAATCAAATCGATTTCTAAAAAATCGACTTCTAGTAAATTGACCTAATTTCGTAGTGTAGACATACCCTTAGAGATGTAGCGGAAAAGCTGAATTGTGTACAGCAGAAAAGAGGGATTTAAGGGTGTTTGAAACAGTGCTGCAGTGTTCTGGGTGGACCAGAGGGAGGAAAGCGTTTCCTTGACACCATAACTGCTTTACTTTATTGGACACTGTTAGTTTCTGACATGGCTATAGTTTATCTTCTCCATATACACGTATAAGATGACGTTTAAAAAAAGCTGCTGTAACTTGGTCATTTGTCTTTAATTCCAGTGATTTGAAATTCATGAAACTGGTTACAAGCCCTCTATCCAGATGCTTTCTTTGTTTGCAAAATTTGTCCTCTTTTGAGTTAGTGATGTTCAAATATTCTGAGTTTCAGATACAGCTTAAATGGTTGAATCTTGCAAATAAGTTAATCTTTACAGAGGAAATATGGATGACAGCACTTACATGGCTGTCTGAAAAAAAGCTGAAATTTTGATCTGAAAAGCTGTTAAATTGCATTTGCACTAGCCTACTCCTCCTGTTTCTGCATATGCATTTTGTTCCATACCGTTTACTATACATGCAGTGTACGAAATGTCAGTGATTTAAATGTGGCTTTTTGTATTCTATGATTTACATCTTCACAGATCTGTTCACTTTTAGCTGTAATTTCTATAGGCTGACTAGCAGGTAGCTATGAGTTATAGGGACTGTAACTTCGTTGAAGGGATTCTGGTAACTCTGTCAATCGAAGAGTGCAGCTTAAGTGTCACCAGAACCCCAAAATGGAACACTACAACCCACTCATTAAAAATATACTGTATTTTAAAAATAGATCTGATTCTCCTCTTTCTCTGTCTCCAAATGACCCCTGTAGTAACTGATCCTCAAAGCATTACTGGAGCAGCTCTTCACGTGAGTTGAATATAATTCACAGGCATAATTTGAATTACCAGAGGGGATTTTTGCACTAGGAAGCAGCTACCCATGTATTGCTCTACATTAATTTGGTATTCCATCTGGAAGGATACCCTTCATGTTACTGTCTACTATGCTAAAGGTGCAAAATCCTGTCAAAATCTGAAGCAGTTGTAGTTATTGAGTCTGACATAAACCCACAAAAACAAGGAATGTCAAAGATAATGTTGCCATGCTGTCCTTAAATTTCCCATTGTGCCTAGATATCTTAGACATATGGTACAGTGCATATGGTCATACTAGTCTTAGACTACTGTAATACTAAAATTGTATGAAAGTGACACCATTTACTTAAATCAATCTACCCTCTGAATTGTGGGTTTGGTTTCGTTTTTCCTTCTGTTGCTACAAGTAACATCTAAGAGCACTATAACTTGAAAGACACTAAAGAGGAATAATTTTTTTTCCTCCCAGATTGTTAACACATTCGATAGCGTACTGGTGCTTTCTCCATTTCCCCTCTAGTCAGTTTTGCCTGGTGTTTGTGTGGGTCTCTCCCACAGCTATGGGGGAGACAAAAACATTTTTAAACATAAGAAATCTGATTGTAAAACCACAGAATTTAACAGGGACACTTAGAGCCAGGGACTGTACCTGAAACCACCTTCATATCTCAATTTTAAATTGACGATGTCTTTTTAATCTCTGAATTCCTTTGCTTTTGTCCGTTTAAATCTGGGTCTTATTTTTATTTGAAAAAATAGTATTTGGTCCTTGGTGTTTTTTTAACTTATCTAGTTTAAAACTGAGATTCAGTTTTCTTGAGTTCCTATGAAAACTGACAGTGCATTTTCCAAAATATAATCTCTTTTAATCCAAAAATTGCTACACATTTTGATCTTTATAATTTGATCAGTATGTTGACTACCTCTTTAAAGACTATTCCTATCCATTAGTAAACTGTCCCCTTTTAAGAAGTTTGTAGCACGGTGCAGTGTCCTTTGATTGAAGGTTCACATCCACAATTGGTCAATTCAGTCCGTATTCTTAGGCGTAATCTTGGATTCCTTATTGATGCTGAGCTCCCACATTGCAACAGCTATGAGTAATGCTTTCTTCTATATCCGGTGGCTAGGGGAAATTGTCCCATTTAGTGGACAAAGACCTGGCCTCATTTACTCACAGTTTCATCACCTCTCAGGCTGGATTACAGC